AGATTCATTCGATGTCATGTAAAGCTGGCAATGGTCATAGATGTACAAATGGGTCTTGAAGACAATCAACGCATCATCAATCTCAAAAGACCAAACCAAGAACTTGAAAACATTGACGGCTATCCAGTTTACATGGTTCTAGAAAATCCAGAGTTCGGGGTCATCTACTTTGCTCAACTTCAAGTCAAAAAGTTCATGAGGTTCAGTAAGTTGAATAAATATTCTGACGGTACGATCAAGCTAGTAAGGAGGGCACTTGATTTGAAGAGGGTGATGGACGAAAAGGCTACTGATTCTTAACGAATGAGTTCCAAAGAAAGATACTTATTGGTCAACGCCATAAATTTGCTCGAGGAGAAGATTCAGTACAGGAACGCTCTGAGAAGGTCAGAGAAAATCCTTGGACTGCGCAAAACGAAATTCATAATGGTCCAAGCTTGAATACAAAGGGGGAGAATGTTGGGTTCAAGTTAATGCTTTAATGTTGTATTCAAGTTTCTCCTTAGAGTAATAGTTTTGTAATAGCTTAGCCTTTAATATTTCCTAGTATAAATAGATTTTCCCTTGTAATAGTAATTACCTATTGTCATTAGTAGATTAATCAAGATTAAGTGCAGTAATTCCTCTCTCTATCAATCTAATCATCCTTTGTTCATATTCTTTCCATCTTTGATGTTCATCATGATTCTTGAAGATTGCTTAATGTTTGTATGATTTATGGACTATCAATATCAAATGTGTTTCTTAACGATCTTCTTGAAAACCCTATTTCTTTTTGGTTTTTCGAACGAAAAGTTTATCTTTCAAACTTTTGTTCTAAAAAGCTTTGTGACGATAACTTGGTGCATTCTTGCATTCTTTTTGTTGTTCTTAAACATAAATAAGCTCTACATCAAATGTTAACTTTGGTATTGAAGAATGCTTCTTCAAACCAAACAACCACGTTGCTCTTATGGAGATCCCTGCAAACAAATCTCACTTTGCGGATGCCACCTCATTCGTTAAAAACTGCGTACTAGGATATGCTTTCACTTTTCAACCAATCATGGGGAAGGACATCCTGAGACAGTTCTGGTACACCGTCGAGGTGAAGACCTCCAAATACGGATTTGGAAACCCCAATGTCAAGATCTTTTGCCAGATCAACATGACATTGAGCTTTGGTCCTGCAACGGTTTGTTCTACTCTGTAGCTTCCAAGGATCGCTCCCTACACCAACGATCGAGACAGTGAATCTATCATCAAATTTCTAGACGATATTTACTATGACTCGCCGATGAAGAAAGACTCTGATTCAGAGCTCAACAAGTCTCTCACCAAGGTTGAGAAGAACCGGATATCCACAGTATGGCAATACTTGTTTTCTCACTTCATTCAGTGTATGGGTGGGAAAACCAGAGGCCGAGACCAAGCGAGCCTGGTGGCACTGAATGTTGACTGCTCGATCATTAGGACATCAATGTTGACTATGCTCAACTTATTTTTGACGATCTGGCGCTAAAGCTGAACAAGCACCAAAGGGAGAAGGTGGTCCCTTACACCAGGTTCCTGAGTGGGATTCTAGCCAGAATCTTTATGAGAAATTACCGCGCTCAGAGTGACATTCCCATCTGCAGGCTTAGATCAAGGATTCTTGATTACAAGTCCAAGTCTTTCGATATTGGTATATTCCCTCAAATGTTGAGGATAGCCAATACTTATTCTCTTCTTTCTTCTTCTTCTTCTTCTTCTTCTTCTTCTTCTTCTTCTTTTTCTTCTTCTTCTTCTTCTTCTTCTTCTTCTTCTTCTTCTTCTTCTTCTTCTTCTTCTTCTTCAATAGCAATGAATTTAGTCCAAACTCCAAAGTCTACCCAAGCTACAACCTCCCTATCCTCTTGAAAGAGGAGACCTTCTAAAGCGACTCTTAATCCCTCAAAGAGGGTGAAGAAAGCGATAAATAGGAAGCCCTGTCAGCTAGCTGCGACCTCTCAACAGATCTCATCTATTGAACTTTGCCTTAACCCCGAGATATTTGTTCTCACTAGGGGTGGCAATGGGTCAGGTTGGGTTGGGTTTCGGGTTCAACCCATTTATTAAACAGGTTGAAAATCTCAACCAACCCAACCTATTTAATTAAATAGGTTGAGATTTTTCAACCTAGCCCAACCTGTTGGGTTAATGGGTTGACAGCGGGTTGACCTATTTACGATTTTCTTAACCCAACCTGTTAAATAAATGGGCAGAACCTGGGTTGACCCATTTAATTTTAAAATTTTAAATAAAAAAAGAACTAGACTATTTAACTTTTTTGAATAAAAAATAACACAACCAAATTGTTCAAAGTCTGAATAAAACACAACCACAACAAATATATTGTTCAAAATAAGTTGAACTTTTTAAAATTCTAAGTAACTCGACTTCCACTTTCATCAACCCTAACTTCACTCTCGATATTACTTTCTTCTTGATCTTCTATCTTCTCTGTCATGATTGCTCCACATAGCGCCTCAAGATGCGCTTCCATTTGTACTACGTAAATAAATTAAATTATTAACTTAGTTATAGCCTTATAGCAAACACATGGTTTTATACGATAAGAGGAAATATACAAATAATAAATTAGAACAAACCTTCTCCATATACCCAATCTCTTAGACAAATAATAGCCTAAATTGTAGAAGACTTGAATGAACTTCTATAAGCATCAAGGACCCTACCGCCAATGCTAAAAACAGATTCAGATGCCACTGTTGAGATAGGGATAGCTAAGATGTCCCTAGCTATCCGAGCAAGAGTCGGATACCTAACCTCATAAGTTTTCCAATAGTCCAAAATGTTTAGATTGTTCACACGAGGCATGAGCTTTTCCTCTAAATAACATTCAAGTTCAGATTTTACAGCTTGAGAAGTCACCTTATTTGAAAAGGTATCGAAGTCTTGATAAATAACATAAATCATAAAAAGTATAAAAAAATAGTAAATGTATATACCATCATAAGTGAAGCATAAACCACATCTAGCATATCTTGAGATCCTTCTTGGGAATCCAACGATCCACTCTTAGGTTGACCAACTTTGTTTTTATTCAAATGTGACTCGTCCACGTACTTATTAAATAATGAAAACAATTGCTTTTTTATTATTTCCAACTCAATTTGTACTCGTGCCTATAAACTTCTCATAACCCCATTCAACAATATGATATTTATAACGAGGATCCAAAACAGCCGCAAATGCCATAACTGTGCTAAAATTAGCCCAATATTTCTCAAACTTCTCATACATCCGACTAGCCATGTTTTTCACGAAAGTATCATCACTATCTTTTTCTTTGTGTAACAACACTCTAACCGTCAAAACATTAGCAAAATAAAGATTGGTAGTAATATATTTAGAGCCAGAAAATGCACAAGTTACCTCGTAGAAAACCTTTAAGAACTTGAAAGTCCTTTCAATTCTTCCCCACTCATCACTTGTTGGACAATGCAAATAATTAGCATCAGTTTTTGCCAAATGAATAAAAGCTTTTTTATAGTACAAAACTGAATCCAACATAATGTAAGTCAAGTTCCATTGAGTGGGAACATCTTGTCTTAAACCCCTTGAAGATTGTAGCTCTACATGTGCAACACTACTTAAAAACCTTTGCCTCCTAGATTGTGAACCTTTATAGTACTTCACAATATTTCTAACCTTTATAATAGCATCATCAACCTCTTTCAATCCATCCTGCACAATTAGTTTCATAATGTGTGTGCAACACCTAACATGAAAATATTCACCTTCACAAACCAAATCAATTCCAGTCTTCAAAAAATCAACCATTACATCATTAGAAGAAGCATTATCTAGAGTAATTGAAAACACTTTCTTTTGAATCCCCCAATCCTTCAAAAGACTAAACACGTGATCACTCAAAGCAAGATCAGTGTGTGGTGGAGCCAAAAAGCTAAAATTTAGAATCAATTTTTGCAAGTTCCAAGAATTGTCAATGAAATGGACAGTCAAGGACATATAACCATTAGTGGTTATGGATGTCCAACAATTAGAGATCAAACAAATCCTACCAAGAGTACAAATTAAGGCATCTTTCATTTTCAACTTTTCCATCCTATACATCTTCAAAATATTAGCCTATGGTATTCCTTGAAACAACTTTCACTTCAGGATTTAAATAAGTGAAACACTTCCTAATTCCCTCATATTCTGCAAATTGAAATGGAAATTCATGTTTCACAACAGCACTAGCTAATAGCTCACGAAAAGTATTAGAGTTAAAATCAGGGAGCCTACTATTTAATGAACCACCACTACCACCATAATCCAACATCATCTGCCCAATATCCTTAAATCGACTTTTTTGCAATTTCTAAGATGGTGTTTCAAATTCCCGGTACCCATTTTAGTTTCAGCATTATAAATCTGACCACACTGTTTACATTTACAATATAATTCACCATTTTCATCAAGATCCGTAAAATCAAAGCTATTCCATACCTCAGATGTAAGTTTTCTTTGACGTTTGAATTCCACACTTGGTTTTAATTGGTTAATCGATTTCTTCTCGTTGTTATTTGACGGAGGTGGAGGACTTTGTAAATCATCTTCTTCCGAAATCTCAACCATATTACTAGTATTAATCACTGAAATAAAACATAAAAGTATTAATCAATATTCATTGAAATAGTAGAGTCAACATCTTGAAGACTTGAACCATTACCATGTCAACAAAAAATAACAAAATCAAAACCCAAATAGGCAAAACTTAAGTTTTCTGTTCACTGTTAGTAGCCAAAACCTTACCAATTATTTAGTGGATCAAATATTTAACCATGATTTGCATCTCTCTTGTCTTTTGCCACATATGACTCTACTCTATTTATAGGTTCTTGTTTTTAAGATGTATGCACCCTAAAACAAAGCATTACAAAATATGCATCTAATTTAAATCTCTTTTTGACTTCTTTTGTAGTTCTTTCTTATCTGTCAGGTTAGTGAACCCCTTTTTGAACCTGGCATCACCCCATGTCAGTTGTGCCATTATTCAAACCAAATCTCATTTGATTTTTTGCTTGAACTGAAATTAATTTGAGATCTGATTTAGTTGGTGCATTTTTATGTCCGTTCAAAACTATTTTAAGCTTCAAGTAGAGGTATATGATGCTGGAAACCAATTACCTCCACTGCTGCTGTGGTGGTTACTGAAAAATGGCTGAAGTCTGTATATTATTTAGCGATCACATGAAAGTGGAAACCCCTTAATCTTTTAATTTTAGTTATACAGGTATTATTTGTCTAATTTTTTTCGTTCCCTGCTTGGGTTTTTCTGATTTTATTTAAAAACATAAGCCTTAAATTAACCAATGTAGATGAATCCTGGTAATTTCGGACATTATTCTACAATTTTGAGAAATCTATCATTGTATTTGTCCTCCAACAACTCTGGCCAAGCATTTGCTTAAAACCACAGACTAACATTATGGTTGTTGCACAAATATGTGCTCATGATATGAGATCTTGAGAGGTCATGGTGCTAAGAACGAGCTATAAATTAAAAACACTACTGGCTAACTAGGGCACTAATGTCAAAAGCATGTAAGAAGATACGAGGTAGTTCATCGAAAGCCCACAATGGCATAGAACCAACTATAAATTAAAAACACTACCGGCTAACTAGGGCACTAATGTCAAAAGCATGTAAGAAGATACGAGGTAGTTCATAGAAAACCCACAATGGCAAAGCAAACTATACAAAATCTGAAAGGAACCATATTCAGTAGTACTTAATTTAAACATATATCAAAACAAAGTTCTATAAATCCGGCAACATGCTCACTTACTTGATCAAGCCCTCAACCTCAAATCGAAAACTAAAAGTCTGAAACCAACCCAAATCTTTGATTGGAGAAGCCAAAAAGATAGAACTCAAAAGAAGGAGAGAAGATTGATAATTGATAATGAAGATTGAAGAATTGGAGACAAAGCCAAAGCGTCGAGAGGATAGATGATACTCATGATAGATGATATCATGATAGATGATGATGATGATACTGATTAGTAATGAATGAAGCATATGAAAGAATTGAAGGATTGAAAACGAAGAGTCATCATGAAACTTGGGCCAATATTTAAGAAGAAACAAAATAAAAAATAAATTAGATATAATATTAAGAATAAAATAAATTTATATAATATTTTAAGTGGGTTGAAAACAGGTTGAAAACGGGTCAAAAAATTCAACTCAACCCAACCCATTTATTTAAATGGGTTGGATCAGTTGACCCATTTATTTAAATGGGTTGAAAATCTCAACCCAACATGCTAATTCTGGGTTGGGTTCGGGTTGGGTTAATGGGTTAGGTCATTTTTTGCCACCCCTAGTTCTAACCCTCCGTCCCTCGTCAGCTATATCTTCTATGGTTGTCGTATGTGTGGCACCTACCCTACTACTTCATTGACTCAACTCACTGAATGTGTGATTCCAGTATTGCCACTGCTGATCCTCCACTTCTTTTTTCAACCATTATCTCCTACCATCCTTCTTTAGTCTCTATCACACGAGCTGATGAACCGATGGTGGTTGTCCCCACTATTGGTGAAACTATCACCATAGGACCTGAGGATGCTCCTCTCGACTCCCCTCAACAACATATGGTTGATCATCTCGACAACGCATTCAAAGAGTTTGGCCTCAACGGTAATCAGTCGGATACTGTTGAGGAACCCTCAGGTTTACACCAAACCTCCTCTTTTTCTTTATTTGTTACTAACCATAAGCTCTCTCATGCTTAATGCTCTTCTTTCTCCGCAGGTCCTATGGAGTCTGAACCCCCATTCACTGAGACTGACGCCTATGCTATGGCTGGGGACGTCAAGTTGCTTCTCCCTGTTGTTGCGACTGTTAGCAATGGCAACGGGCCGGGTTCAGATCGGTTATTGGTATCCCCATCCCCGAAACCGATAACTAAGACCATCCCCTAACTGCCCTTATCCCCGTCAGGGATCTTATCGGGATCCCCGTCGGGTACCCGTAGTTTCCCTGATCCCCATTGAGGAACCCGTTAAGAGTAAAAACATTTTTTCCAGTTAGTTTCCCGTTCACCGTTGGTTATACCCAAACCCAAACCTGAGTTGATCTGAAAAAAATTACAATACTTTAACTTACACAACTAAAAGTAAATCACGATTTTTTTTGAAGATGTAAGTCCAAATGTCTCAAACATAATCAAGCGAATTACAAACGTCTTATATTACTTTATAAAAGTTAATAGAAATTCAAACATCAAACAACTAACATCACGATTTCACGATTAGACAAAATAAACTAGACTTTTTCATGACCCTTATTTGGGGTGTTGAGGTAAATTGGATAAAAGTTTTTTAAATTTTAACATACACATATAGGATAGCAAAAAACCGAAACCGATGGTGAAAAACGAGAACCGAAAATTTCGGGCCAGGTTCGGGGACATCTTATCGGAGACGGGACAGGGATCGGGGATAAATTCAGGGATTTTAACGGGGATGGGGACGGGGGCAGGGATGGTGATCACCAGCCGATATGTGTATATATATTAATTTTAATTTATACACACACACACACACACACACACACATATATATATATATATATATATTATCATTAAAAGAAAATAGTAACATTAAAATTTAAAAGGCTTTTATCCACTTTACCTCAACAATCCAAATAACGCTCACGAAAAAGTCTAGTTTATTTGTCTAATCGTAAAATCATGATTTTAGTTGTATGATGTTTGAATTTCTATTTAGTTTATCTAATACATTGTTTGTAATTGGTTTAATTATGTTTGAGACATTTAAATTTACAACTTTAAAAAAATTGTAATTTACTTTTAGTTGTGAAAACTAACATATTGTAATTTTTTTAGATCGGTTTCGGGTTCCGATTTCAGGTTCGGGTTTGGTAATAACCAACGAGTTCCCCAACGGGGATCGAAGAAACCGCAGGGACCCGATGGGGATCGGGACGGTTACGGGGGCGGTTTTAATTATTGGTTTCGGGGACAGGGATACCAATAACGGACTGAACCCGACCCGTTGCCATTCCTAACACATACCAGGTCGGGGTTGGGCCGTGATCACCGTCTCCGCCCCCGTCCCTGATAAGTTTTCCCGGAACCCAGCCCCAAAATTTCGGTTTTCACTATCGGTTTCGGTTCTTTTGCCATCTCTAGTGACCGTCTTTGACAAGATGGACGAGGTTCAACAGGGAATGACCTTGAAGGAAGTCATGATTCATGATCTCTCTGTTGTCCAAGCAGATATAAGTGAAGTCAAAAGTGAGCTGAACTCCATGAAGATGAGAATCCAGCACAACTCTGACATCGTTGCTGCTCTCTCCAGCAACGCTGAGGATGTTTAGACTATCTTTATTCACAAACCAAACCAAACCAATCTTTATTAAAAAATTAATTTCTCTCTCTTCCACCTACCCAAACTATAATTCCAATCCAATTTAACTTTTTTCATACTTTATTCACAATCCAAACCAATCTTTAAAAATATATTATAAAATTATATATTTATATTTTAGAATATATATATATATATATATAT